CAATAAACAATATTCTGATTAATTTACTTCAGGCAAATATTTATGAATAATGAAAAAGTATTGATTGTGCAGGTAGTTTGCCCAGGCACATAATGTATAATGGTTGATTATTATTTAATAATGTTTGTTACATTCATCCACTCATTTATTAATTTTTAAACTTCTACAAAACCCCCAGTACAATAACAATGAGCTATAATTTATTTATACCATCACTTGCACATTTTGTAACAAAATTAGGCATTGCTACTGACAGTTTGCACCCGTGTGTGTGGTTTGCAAAGACATGGCACTATCTTACTGAAGGCTTTTTTAAATTCTTTGTTACGTGCGTATAGGAATGGGTTGAGAGCCGAATTACTGTACCCAAGCCAGCTAAAATAGTTACAAAGTCTCGCCAACATGTGACAATTGGGATAGAATGCGAAAATAATGTTAGTTATAAAATACGGCAACCACATTAAGCAGAAGAATACTACCAGTAAGACAGTTGTCATGATGGCTCGAGTTTGCTTCTTTCTTGGCGCTGGACTTCGTGACTGTGCCCAGATCTGTCGAGATTGCTTCCTGGCGATGCAGTATATTCGAGTGTTTGTGTAGAAAAGTATGGTGAAAGGTATGATGAATCCAATCATAGCGGCAAACAGTATAAGACCAGCACTCCAGTGTGGCATACAGTGATTTGTCATTTCATCAAAATTTAATGAGGTGGTTACCTCCCCGGCGATTAACGGCACCCATGTCACTACCATTGAGAAGGTCCACACTGTAACTATGGCAACAATCACTTTCGTCTTTGACATTCTCTGACAGTACTGCAATGGCCAAGTGATGCTTAGGTATTTATCCAAACTGATTACTACGAGGTTCATGATTGATGCAAAACACAGAAAGACTGATGTCGTTAACCAGATAGTGCAGAATGTGTTCCCAAATTGCCAGAAGTTCTGTATCAATTGTATCAGTTCAAACGGCAGAATAAATACTCCGAGAATGAAGTCTGCGATAGCGAGGTTGAGAATAAAATAGTTGGTGATAGTTGCTCTAAGATGCTTGCTGAAAATGAATGAAAGCAACACTACAGTATTTCCGCAGATTACAAAAATAGTAATTACAATGAAGATGAAAATTTCCAACAGTGAGGTGACGATCACATCCACGGTATCTGTTCGTGAACAGTTTCCAGGTAGCCATTCTGTACTTGACACCAAGTCATCTGGCTTGCTTTTCCACTCTATCACTGTAATATGTTTCATCATGGTGCCCTGCATTGTCCATGTGTATGATCAGTAGTCTCTCTCAATTGCATCAAAGGTGTGTCCGCAAGAGCAACAAACTGTTTCTTCTTATTCCTCATAAAACTAACGAATAGAAACTTTCAGCGTTCTGGTTCAAGTTCTGCTTTATGCCTTCTGTGATGCAAGCTTACAATGCTTCACAATAGCTTGTTTCCAGCTTTACATTGCGTTGCTACGTGTTGCACCGTTCACAACTGTAAAAACCATGAAGAGTGTCAAAAATGAACTATATTGTAGAAATGATCTCATTCTTATCGAGAATCACACAATATTTAATATGTTCATTCATTTGCATTGCTGTCATTTGATGACAGGTCCTGATTTAATTAATTCTTTGAAAGCAGGAAATATCAGCTCTTCACTGTTGGCAGTGTGAGTAATGGAAAAACTAAGTGCCTGGACGTCAAAACATCATGTTACAGTTACCCATTTAATATTGTCAGCTAATGTTTCGATATAAATGGACAGGTATTAATATGATGAATATTTTCTTGGCACATTGCCACATCTGTCTACATCCCTCTATAATACATGCATGCTTTTTGATGAATCATTGGATGACTGGTTTACAAAATCTGTTAGTCAAGTTTGAAGTGGTAAAACAACACAGTATTGGGGATTAGAGTTCATATCCTAATAATACATGTCTCCATGAATAAAACCAGTTAGTTTGTCTCTGCATTGCATAAATTTTACGTCTTCTTTCAATTTTGTGGTATGGTTGAGAAAATTCTAAATGAGAGTTTAAGCTAGAGCTACGAAAATTTTACAAAGAAGCAGACAAATTGAAAAGCCTCCAAAGACGCACATATGTACATACTCAATGTATATCTACTTTGTTAGCTCCTAATTGAGCATGTGCCATATTTCTGTCATCATTGTATATTACATGTTAACTAAGGAACTATACTCATCCATAGACTATATACACCTGAATGTGATAAATAGGTTTAAAATTGTCTTTTTCTCTGTCATGGAAATCAGCTTCGTGGAATGCTGTCATAACGTTTTTCTTTATATAATTCAACCAGTGAAATTTCCATGCAAGTGTGTTTTACTTGGGATATTATACTGTGTCAAATTATATATATTTGGGGTTGCTCTAACGATATGAATAAATGCTAAAATGGCTGCTAGGAAAATAAATCAAAAATATAAAATCTCATATAGAAGGAGTACATAATGCTTATATGCAAATGTCAGAAAAATTTATTTATAAATTATTTGATCTTGACATTAATACTACGTCACCATGTAAAGTATAGAGAGTTAGAGTTTAGTGGTTAAACTTTAAAGATGCATCATACTGTAAGCCTATCACAGCAAATGTTATATTAAATAGTGTAAACAATGCAGATAATGATGTCACTTTACTTCACATTCTGTTGACAGCTGCCTCTTTAACAACATTTTGTACATTTTCATAGATTTTTTCTATAATTTCTTGGTTAATTTCAAACAAACCAAAAAAAATCTTTTTCCTAAGCTAAGTTTTCTTGATAATTTGTTAGTTTACAAATTGGATTTAAGATCCATGAAAACAGGAATTTGTTTTTGTTTTCCCTATTGCAATAGGCCTCAAATCAGCAGCCATTCTTTACAAAAACAGAGTCAGATTTTAAGCTTAGGTGGAATACTAGTTTGCTATTAATGCTGGTGACAATGCTGCTGTTTTTTGAGATATATTATTATGGATTGGTGTAAAAAGATGACATGACAAATTTTAGACGTCTATTTCATTTTTTGGTGTCAGGAAGTAGAAAACTGAAGAAGACTGAAGTGATACTTCCCATAATGCAATATGATAATTACGTCAGAGATATCTAGTATCGACCCTTGAAAGGGTACTTATGTTTATTAATATTATTCCTAATTATTTGTTCCTGGATGCCATCTAAATGGCATGTTGTTCTATTATAAATAACTGAATCTATTGTCATAAGGTCAATAAATAGCAACCATGGAAAATTATGTGTCATATTCCCTTTACTATAGCTGGGTATAAGAAATTGAAAAGCACAGTTTCTTTACTGTCGGTTTTATTGTATTTTGCCATCACATTTCCAACATTTTATCCAATAACATAAGGTGAACAAATCTATAATGTTTTTATGACATTTAATTGTGGGCTATAGAAATTGATGTTAATTTTGTGTGTATTTTGATTGTCATAAGCAAAACGATCCACACATTAAAAACTGACTTGTCTCTCTATATACACATGAAAAATCTCAAGCAGATTTCCACCTTAAAAGAAGTGACAATGTTACATCAGCTTTGCATTGAGGTATAATTAATCATCAACCACTTTAGTTTCACGGGTCAGTAATAACTGCAGAATTTCTAAGAAAATGCGTCACAACAACTTTCACTAAATTCCTGTCACAGGATATTGTACAGACAGACACTTCACTAGGTCATTGGTTGTCTGATTGTTTTTATCTGGGTTAAATATTCGGTCACTCACCTCATTATTATAATGAATCTCTAATTGTCATATTTTCAAAATGAGTCATACTGAATAAGGAAGCTGTTAATCCCATATAGATATTCAAATTCCTGAATGAAATAACCACCTCTTTCTTCCACATATATATTCAAATACCTAATTGATAAATAACCACTAATTGATCCCACATCAATATTACAATAACTAAAGAGACAAATAACTACCAGTTGAGCCCACATAGATATTCTAGTAACTAAGTGAACAAATAACTACCTGATAAATATGGTAAATTAACAAATAACTACCTGTTGAGCCCACATAGATATTCTAGTAACTAAGTGGACAAATAACTACCTGTTGAGCCCACATAGATACTCTAGTAAATAAGTGGACAAATAACTACTTGATAAATACGGTAAATGGACAAATAACTACCTGTTGAGCCCACATATATATTGTAGTAACTAAGTGGACAAATAACTACCTGTTGATCCCACATATATATTCTAGTAACTAAGTGGACAAATAACTACCTGATAAATACAGTAAATGGACAAATAACTACCTGTTGAACACACATAGATGTTCTAATAACTATTTGGACAAATAACTACCTGTTGATCCCGCATACATACTCTAGTAACTAAGTAGACAAATAACTACCTGATAAATACGGTAAATTGACAAATAACTACCTGTTGATCCCACATATATATTCTAGTAACTAAGTGGACAAATAACTACCCGATAAATATGGTAAATGGACAAATAACTACCTGTTGAACACACACAGATGTTCTAATAACTAAGTGGACAAATAACTACCTGTTGAGCCCACATAGATATTCTAGTAACGAAGTGGACAAATAACTACCTGTTGAGCCCACATAGATACTCTAGTAAATAAGTGGACAAATAACTACTTGATAAATACGGTAAATGGACAAATAACTACCTGTTGAGCCCACATAGATATTGTAGAAACTAAGTGGACAAATAACTACCTGTTGAGCCCACATAGATATTCTAGTAACTAAGTAGACAAATAACTACCTGTTGAGCCCACATAGATACTCTAGTAAATAAGTGGAAAAATAACTGCCTGTTGATCCCACATAGATACTCTAGTATCTAAGTAGACAAATAACTACCTGATAAATATGGTAAATAGACAAATAACTACCTGTTGAACACACATAGATGTTATAATAACTAAGTGGACAAATGGCTACCTGATAAATACGGTAAATGGACAAATAACTACCTGTTGAGTCCAGATAAATATTCTAGTAACTAAGTGGACAAATAACTACCTGTTGAGCCCACATAGATGTTCTAGTAACTAAGTGGACAAATAACTACCTGTTGATCCCACATAGATATTGTAGTAACTAAGTGGACAAATAATTACCTGTTGATCCCACATAGATATTGTAGTAACTAAGTGGACAAATAACTACCTGTTGAGCCCACATAGATATTCTAGTAACTAAGTGGACAAATAACTACCTGTTGAGCCCACATAGATATTGTAGTAACTAAGTGGACAAATAACTACCTGATAAATACAGTAAATGGACAAATAACTACATGTTGAACACACATAGATGTTCTAATAACTAAGTGGACAAATAACTACTTGATAAATACGGTAAATGGACAAATAACTACCTGTTGAACACATAGATGTTCTAATAACTAAGTAGACAAATAACTACCTGTTGATCCCGCATACATACTCTAGTAACTAAGTAGACAAATAACTACCTGATAAATACGGTAAATGGACAAATAACTACCTGTTGATCCCACATTTATATTCTAGTAACTAAGTGGACAAATAACTACCTGTTGAACACACATAGATGTTCTAATAACTAAGTGGACAAATAACTACCTGTTGAGCCCACATAGATACTCTAGTAAATAAGTGGACAGATAACTACTTGATAAATACTGTAAATGGACAAATAACTACCTGTTGAGCCCACATATATATTCTAATAACTATGTGGACAAATAACTACCTGTTGAGTCCACATAGATATTGTAGTAACTAAGTGGACAAATAACTACCTGTTGAGCCCACATATATATTCTTGTAACTAAGTGGATAAATAACTACCTGTTGATCCCACATAGATATTCTAGTAACTAAGTGGACAAATAACTACCTGTTGAGCCCACATAGATATTCTAGTAACTAAGTGAACAAATAACTACCTGTTGAACACACATAGATATTCTAGTAACTAAGTGGACAAATAACTACCTGTTGATCCCACATAGATATTCTAATAACTAAGTGGACAAATAACTACCTGTTGATCCCACATAGATATTCTAGTAACTAAGTGGATAAATAACTACCTGTTGATCCCACATAGATATTCTAGTAACTAAGTGGACAAATAACTACCTGTTGATCCCACATAGATATTCTAGTAACTAAGTGGATAAATAACTACATTTGTACCTGATAATTACGCTGAATGGACAAATAACTACCTGTTGAACACACATAGATATTCTAGTAACTAAGTGGACAAATAACTATCTGTTGAGCCCACATAGATATTCTAGTAACTAAGTGGACAAATAACTACCTGTTGATCCCACATAGCTATTCTAGTAACTAAGTGGACAAATAACTACCTGTTGATCTCACATAGATATTCTAATAACTTAGTGGACAAATAACTACCTGTTGATCCCACATAGATATTGTAGTAACTAAGTGGACAAATAACTACCTGTTGAGCCCACATAGATATTCTAGTAACTAAGTGGACAAATAACTACCTGTTGATCCCACATAGATATTGTAGTAACTAAGTGGACAAATAACTACCTGTCAAGTCCACATAGATATTGTAGTAACTAAGTGGACAAATAACTACCTGTTGAGCCCACATAGATTTTCTAGTAACTAAGTGGACAAATAACTACCTGTTGATCCCACATAGATATTGTAGTAACTAAGTGGACAAATAACTACCTGTTGATCCCACATAGATATTGTAGTTACTAAGTGGTCAAATAACTACCTCTTGATCCCAAATAGATGTTCTAATAACTAAGTGGAAAAATAACTACCTGTTGAGCTCACATAGATGTTCTAATAACTAAGTAGACAAATAACTACCTGATAAATACGGTAAATGGAAAAATAACTAGCTGTTAAGCCCACATAGATATTCTAGTAACTATGTGAACAAATAAGCTCCAGTTGATCCCACATGAATATGCTAATACTCAAGTAAACAAATAACCACCAGTTGATCCCACATAGATATTCCAGGGATGTGAGAACACCATATCTAGTGTATATTAACAGAGCCTTCTGCTGATATAATATAATTCTGTGAGTGTTTCCTTCTATTAAACCCTGTATTCAAAACATCTGCTCTGAGTACATCACAAAATCAATATATCCATCAACTTTTCTATTTTATATAATGCTAAATATACATATGAATGAATTTCGTCATTAGTTCATGAGTTGTACATTTAAATGTAATTCTTATAAAAGTTTATATACAGGCAAGCTTTATCTTAACATTACCAAGTTCTGATTTTTATTTTTTCTTACACATAAAATCATTTAATCTTTACAGAGCAATAATCCAATGCAGTGAATAACATGAACTGTCTTGACTCTGGTGATAAAGAAATGTGTTTTCTGAGTGCATAATGCATTTTTTTGCCCCCCCCCCCCCCTTGAGGAGGTCAAGTATAATTGTAAATCGTTATTGATATACCCTTAGCATTAGTTTAAGGTTCTGTACTGTTGCTAAGTACATGATAAGTATCTCATAAAATAATGTAAAATTCCTGGCTAATACAGTAGATATACACTTAACTATGTGATTGTGTTTGCCACTTTTTCACTTTATATCATTTTTAAAAGTCTTCAAGTATATGGAATGCATGCTATTTAATAACCACTCCCAAAGGCGAGTATAGTACATGATTTTGACCAGGTTTAGTGATAGTGAGTGTGTGTATATAAAGTGAACCGGTAAAAATTGAATATTCAGGCAATTGAAATTCTGGTAGAATATAATTGCACTTTCTGAAACCTTGGTTTGTGGTCATCAGTTTGGTCAGTAGTAGTTGTCAGTTTGGTTTTTAGTGTCATTACTTTAGTTGTTGGTGGTCATCAATTTGGTTGTTAGTGGTTACCAGTTTGGTTGTTACTGGTCATCAGTTTGGTTGTTAGTGGTCACCAATGTGATTGTTAGTGGTTGTCACTTTGGTTGTTAGTGGTCATCAATTTGGTTGTTAGTGGTCACTAGTTTGTTTTTTAGTGATCACCAGTTTGATAGTTAGTGGTCATCAGTTTATTAGTGGTCATCGGTTTTGTTTTGGTTTTCGTGGCCATCAGTTTATTAGTGGATATCATTTTGGCTGTTAATGCCCATCAGTTTGGTTGTTAGTGGTTATCAGTCTGGTTGTTATTAAAGCATGTTTAATTTGTTATGTCCAAATTATAAACCACATTTAGGATGTCATGTGAATTCCTAAACTAGTGATGCCTAAGGAGAATCATTTAAACAAGATGATCACCATTTTGGATTTGATGGTGACAAAAATGCATGTACAATATGATGTATGTATAAAGTTTGAACTTGATTGGTCCAGACATATATGGATCAGGAACTGCATTCTTTAAAACAAAATGGCCATCAGTCGACCATTTTGAACCCAATCCAGAAAGATGTGCATGAAGGTTCTAATATGTTCAACATATGTACCAAGTTTGAACCAAATCTGTACATGTACAACTGAGATTCAGTTTCGGGAAAATGTGCATTTGGTCATTTTGAATCTGATCATAAAAAATGCATGTGCTCATGTCCACTAAAATGTTTGATGTATGTGTGAAGTTTAAACTTGATCAGCCAAGCCATGTTGTATATATGGATCTGAAACTGCATTCTTTGAAACAAAATGTCTGCCATTTTAAACCCAGTTCGAAAAATGAAATGACCTGCATCAAGGTTCCATTGTATTCAATGTATGTACCAAGTTTAAACCAAATCTGTCCACACACAGCTGAGATCTAGTTCTGGAATAGTGAAAATGTGTAATTTTGATGCATTTTTAGCATTTGGCCATCATGAAACGTGTGAAGTTTGAACTTGATGGGTCCAAGCATGTTTGAGATGTGTCTGAACATGAACGGAAGCATGTATGCATGCATGGAGATCAATTCATAACAATATTGCTTATAAAAACAGATCTTACCATTTATCACAGAATACATTTAAAGAAACAATAATTTGAATTGGAGTTCATTTATTTTATTTGCTTGTAAATTAACTATAATTTCTGTCAAGAAAATTTGAAAATTTTGAGATTCATTATTTTAGTTTTCATGCATCCATTGGATATATTATCGAATGACAACAGTGTCAGAATAAATGATCGATGATTGTTTCAAATAACCTGCAATTTTTATTTAGACAAAACAAAGACTGCATTTTTATATTTATAAAAATATAGTTAGTTTTTAAACTTACACATCATAAACTTGTTGTATGCCTTCCGAAAGTCCTTGTTGTGGGCATACATAAACGGATTGATTGCAGAGTTACAATACGTCAGTATACTAAAATAATAATACAGTTCCGCAACTATTTCAGAGTTGTATTCCAGTGAGTATAACAGAGTGGTAATATAATATGGCAACCACATCACACAGAATAGTACAACTAATATGACAGTAGTCTTGATAGATTTAAATTGAGACTTTCTTATATTTGCTCGATAAACAGCATTTCCTTGCATCTGGGCACAAATCTGACGTGACTGCTTCTTCACTGTACATGTTATTCTAATGTTGGTGTAAGAAAGAACTATGAATGGTATAACAAAGCCAAGAATAAATGAAATTATTGTCCACCATTCTTCCCACAAAGGCTCACAGATATTATGTTGACTTAACATTATGAACTCATCCACACTTGTTGACCCTGATACACCGGGGATAAACACACATGCCAGTGACAATAACCACACCAGTACAATCTCTATTAAAATAGTTCTGAATGTTATATAATGGATGTATTGGTAGGGATGCTGTATGTATATATACCTGTCCAGACTGATGACTATTAGACTCAATATTGATGCAAAGTTCAACCAATTCTCCAAACTCAGCCAGATGACGCACCATATGTAACCAAAATACCAGCCGTTCCCTGTTATCATTTCTGTGACATGGAATGGCATGACTAGAATGCTTAATAACCAGTCGGTCACTGCTAAATTCAAGATGAGATAGTTAGTCTGGCGGGATCTCAGCTCTTTGTAGATTATAAACACCAGTATAACAGTCAGATTGCCAACAAACATAATGATAGTAATCAGAAGGACCATGATTATTTCCCAAGGTGATGATTCTGCTTTCGGATCATGTCTTAAGTAATATTGTGTTCCATTGTACGTGTACATTCCTATTGAATTATTGGAGTTCAAAGTCACTAGATTCCCTGGAATAATGGCCGCCACAGTAACTGTTGTAGAGTGACAGAATTCCTGATTCATAACATGCTTTCTGCAGACCATTTCAGTTCTTGTCAAAAAAAATTTGCTTCGCAACACATCACTGACTTCACCCCTAGGTGGTTGCAAATGAACATTGCAAAAGAAAATGATATAGTACTCATCTAAAATTCAAGGTTCTCAATTATTAATGCAAGTTCCTCCAAGGTTAAAAGGTCTGCACTGATGTTCCTCTTCTCAACATTAAAAAGCTTGTCACCCAAACCAACATACTAAAAATAATATTAAACATGCATGAGAGGTTTATTTATTTCTCCTATTGTACTTAGTCGTATCATGGCAACGCAGACAGAGAGATACATTTACAACTTAACAAGGAGCCCTTTTTTCTAATTGGTTTTTGGTTGCTTTACTGTTTTTAAAGCATAGTTTTCTACATGATGAACATGTACAATAAACTGTACATAAGCCATGTGAATAGTTTGGGGAAAGATGCAATATTGTTATCCTTTGTGCAGTGCGAAGTTGCCTCCCCCTAAAATCTGTTGTTAATTATACATATATATCCCACAATGCAAAGCAGTAATGAAATCATTGTAAAAGTTCACTAACTGAATATCCCGCTTAATGCTTTTTCTGTTTTTATTTTTATTTTTAATGGTGAATACTCAATATACAGTATCCACTTTCTTTGCATTGAATTTCCGGTGTGAATTGACATATACATGTAACCATGCAAGTTGCTGAGTTTCGTATTGCCGATTTGGAAACTATGATATGAATTATATGCCCATTGATTACATATTTCTTATGTGATCACAGCTGCTTGAGTACATGTAAGATTGTTATTAATTGGATTGTTCCTGTCAATGTAAAGTAGGTACAAACAGCTGTTGTATACCAGTGCATAGACAGGGCAATTACATTTATTACTTTGTTAGTTGCGCACATCATGTGTGTAACTCTGTATCAAAAAATAGAACAGATTAAATATTCATGATGTGCAGTGTTATTGTTACATATTAACCAAGCTTAAATTCAATGTATATATTCTCAGATTATGATATCTGCACTGAGCAATTTTGAAACATGAATAAATCTTTTATTTACTGTGGTTGATACTATTGAACTATTAGTTGATACTCTGCAATTTAATGAGT